ACAAGCTCTGAATTACTGGGTTTTAGATAAGGCCCTATTTTTCTTACACATATACATGTACAAGGCTGTGCTCAAAGAAAAAACAAAGGGAGCCCATTACTCTGAAATTGTGAAATCCAGCATGCCCAGTATACACTCTTAATGAAAAAACTATGATTCCTTAGTTGTCCAAGAGCAGGAAAAAGTGCCAGGGGCTACCAGGTGCAGCTGGAACACAGCCCTGAGATATCAATCACTCAAACAAAGTTAATCCTTTTGCTCTCAATATCAAAATATAAAATCTCTGCACTGTCTGTTGTAGATTTCTTATAAGTTTTGGTTGAGAATTTGGTGCTAAATCGAACAATATCCCTTAGTTGATATTTGTTCTCTTCTTATAACCCCTTTGCTTGAAAATGTATTGATACTGTCAGGAGAAATTTTTCTTTGATCACTCTTAGGAGTAAAAAGGTTAAGCTGGATGAAAGGAATAACACACACCTGCTCATCAGGAATATCTCTGCTCTCTTCATAAGCTACTGGTTCTTCTGTGTGCTTATGGTATTGAGCCGCACGGATACTTTTCTCTGTGAGACCTGAAAGAAAAAAAATTAACTTTTTATGGTGCACAGCTGAACAAAAATTCACTCATATGGTAGGAGGTGGAACAGCTTCTTTGTCAGCGATTGCCTCCATATATCTCCATGCAAACAGCCACTATTTAATAAAAAAAAAATTTCACAGCTCTAGGGCCTTACCTCTTGTGGAAAGAGAGTTCTCTACAATATTCTCCACGTAGGAGCCCGGCTCAAAGGCCGGACTCAAATCGTTGAAATTTTGATCGTCTTCTGTTTTAATTGCTACACAACAACAACAACAATAAAAAACAAAATAAGAACACAGCATAATGATGACAATTAAAAAAATTACTCTGCCCAAAATTAAACCAGTCCAATCTTGCTATGTGCATAAACTGTGGGTATGAGTCCAGAAAAAAATTCACCATTTAAACTAGCACAGTAATGCTTCTTCATTGTAATGCTCTTCTGAAACAAAATTTTTTCCCCACGCTAAGATCCATCTCTCTGCATTGGCCACAGTTCTGTCTGTGGTAGGTAGGTGGACTTTAACTTAGGAAAAATTTTAATCAGAGGAGCCTGACGACGAAGGAGCATCGCTGAAAAATCCACAAATTGCAAATAAAGAGTTTCATTCAATACTTCACTCTAGTTGGGTAGCACTCGAGTTTCGCTGAAAAAAAATTAATTTAAACACTGAGAAATGTTTGCGAATATTTTCCATGTGTGCAAACTGATGACATTTCCAAGCGCAGTAAAATCTGTAATGAATTTTCAACGGAAAGGTATAAATAATAACGAAAATACCTACACGCCAGCGAACAATCGATCATTTTTCCGGAAATTTCCCGGGAATGTATCAATTCAAACCAAAACCCAAGTGTTTCCGCGCGATTATCAATTTTCCCAAACAGAACTCTGATCTCGCACACCAGAATACAAAACAATTCCTGAAATACTCAGCACTAGGCATTTTAGTTTTCATTTCAATCTTTTGCGGTTTGCTCGCTGGTGCTCGTGTCTTTTTCCGTGCGCGTGTCTGATCTCCTAAAAGTAAGTTTTCTCCGGGGCAAAAATATTTTTATAAGATTTTTGCTAAATTAAAAAGTCTCCTCAGTACTTACATCCTTGATCTACAGCTTCTTCGGAAATCACCGGTTGAAAACTTACAAAAAGTAGTAAAAAAGTTAGCACTACCAACTTTTCCGCCATCTTTGAAGAAGCATCTCCACCGAACTGCGCCTGCTCGCTCTATTGTTACGTAGCTGACGTGTCGCTTTGCAGTAAATTTGACAGGGGAGGGGGAAGATATCATTGTTGGTGAATACGCACAAAGGCTCACATTTTCAGACAAGAAACAAACATAATGCAGTTATGAGAAATACGAATAGTCATTTTGGGAGCTGTCTTTGGACAGAGAAATATGATGTATGTAAAAACCTTATAGATGTGTAGAATTAAGATTTCCTTACACCCACCCCCTACAGTTTCATTTGCTTCACTTGATGCCATAGAAACGCGGTTCGCTTCTGGGAGAATGTCATCGCGAGTGATTCTAGGGATTTTATTTCCGCCGAGCTCGTTGAGGAAATTTCCTTTGCCCGCAGCTACAGTTTGATCAAGAATCCCTTTTCGTGGCGAAAGAGGAAATAACCTCAAAAAAATGGAAATAAAATAAGGACGGAAGGAAGGAAAGCGTGACGAGGGAAAAATGAAAGGGTAAGAAAGGGAAGGGAAAAATTCCAGTTATTTCCCTTTTCTAAAGGTCACAATCTGCCAACTTTATTATGGAGTTTCCTTTCATCTATACACCACGGCCATTTCTCCTATTACTATGGTAAGTAAGTTGGAATGCGAAATTGTTTTTTATCTCATTATGCGGATGTCAATGACTATTCAACTTTCGGAGCGCGGAATCCGAAGGTCTGACGCTCGATTCCCCATGGGCACTCCGAGTATTTTCTTTGTCCTACGCTCGTGACGAGCCGAAA